TGCTGGGGGATTGAACCGCAGTCCCTGATGCTTTTGCTAAGCTTGTTCTAAGTAGGTGCTTTAGACCACTGAGCCATCTCTCCAGCCCTGGTTTCCACTTTCAGTCTCTAGTATTTGACCATAAAGAAGCAAAATAAGGCTGGGCATGGTAGTGGGTGCCTGTAATCCCAGCTCTTGGGAGACTGTAAACACACGGATCACTACAAGTCCGATCTAGTAGTGAGACCCTAAACACCCTGAAGACCCCTAAAATAAAAAAAAAGAAAGAAATAAAAAGAAAAAAAAGAAGGAAATAGCTTCCTTGAAGAGAGCTGGATGGGAAAAAGATCTTACATCCGGACAGATGGTATCACTTGCCTAAAATTCCTGCTCTTTGAACCCCTCTCTAGCCGCCGAGACCTGAATTTAGAGCGAGGTGGTGATGTCACCCTCAAGTAAGACTTTAAAAGCTAACGCTTTGCCCCTTCCCTGGTTCTGCCTGGTTCTTCCCTTAGAAGAGTGATGGTAAACCTTTCAGTGATAACAAAACAGCTAGCTGTGACATGCATGTCATAGGTTTGCCATCACTGGGAAGGAGTGTCTTGGTTGGGGAAATTTCCTGGCACCTCTCACCCCATCCTTTTTAGCAAATCTCGTCCCTTTAGGTCTCTTCCCTTGAATCCTCTTGGTGGGGTCAGCAGGGAGAAAGAAGCTTGGTTCCTGCTCTGAGCCAGACATTTTCCCAGACATGCTTCTGGGAGGGGGTGAGCGAGCAGGGCAAGATCTCACTGCCTTCTCCTGGACATCATGCCACTAGGTGCCCTGTGATGCTGGTGGTAGGAGACCAAGCACCCCATGAAGATGCAGTGGTCAGTAGGAGGTTTGGGGTGATCAGAGATGGTTGAGTCTGAGGGTGGTGATCAGGGGGGTATCCTGCTGAAGGGAAGGCTCTTGGGAGAGAGATGAACTTTGACACATTAAGAAGGTGATTTCTGGTAATAGGGAACTGGGTAGGGGGCTAATAGGGAACGAGATGGGGTCAGGGTTGCTTGGAGGGGAGGCACCACAGAGTGAGCCCATTCATTCAACTTCCATTTACTCCAGGTGGAGTGTAACTCAAAGCTGGACCCCACCCAGACCTCCTTCCTTAAGGTCAGTGGTTCTGCTCCCTGCCCAGCCTGGCTCTTGGCCTCCTGTCTGGAGCCTTAAATCCTCCCTCAATGCAACTTCAAAGCCTTCAGGTTTTGCATGAGCAAGTGGGGTGAATGAAGGAAAAAACAAAGGGGTTGGATAGAGGGAGCTAGGAAAGAGCACCTTTTTATACCTCTTCATGTGGAGCAAATGATTTATATGTGTCATTTTTTCTGGGTGGCTTTTTCTTGAGTAGATGGCCGACTCTGGAGGTCAGCCCCAACTGACACAGGTGAGTATGCTGTGGGGACACACCATGTTCCCGTACCTCTGTGACCAAGGGCTCCCACTTGGCCTCTAACCTCACCTCCCTGACTCTCTCCCTTGCCTTACTTTCCTAGCCGGGCAAGCTGACCGAGGCCTTCAAGTACTTCCTGCAGGGCATGGGCTACAGTGAGTATGAGGGCCAGGGTGATCCTGCCAGGTGATGGGCAGAACCCTTAGAAGTTAATCCCTAGACTTGCCACCATCTGCCAAATCCAGTTCATTGGCTCCCAGGCCTCTACTACAATTCCGGTTTCCCCCAAGCAGCCTGCCTCCCTTCCCCATTCCTCCCTGACTGCATGTTCTACTTGTGTCTGCACAGTGGCTTCCTCCTGCATGACTCGCCTGTCCAGGTCTCGCACAGCCTCTCTGACCAGTGCAGCATCCATTGATGGCAACCGGTCCCGCTCCCGCACCCTGTCCCAGAGCAGCGAGTCTGGGCCTCTCCCTTCAGGGCCCCCGGGACACACCATGGAGGTCTCCTGCTGAGTGACCCCGGTCGCTCTGGTGTGGGACCCAGGCCTCACCTCCCGCAGCACTAACCTTGGAGGTGCATAAGGGCTTGGGACAACAGTAAGCAAGGAAAAGGGCACATTGTGAGATGACTTTGATCTTTTGATTGCTACCCTAACCTTGACCTTTAACCTGTGATTTCCCCAGTCCTGAGAGAAATGTCCTAATATCTCTTAGGGACCCAGACCCCTGAATCATCCCTTCTTCTGTTTTGGCAATATGGAGAAGGCAGGCATGTACCCTCCCTCCCCGATCCAGGTGTTGGTGGGTGAAGGCTAAGAGGCTGTTGTTGTCATGGTGCCTCCATCACTCTCCCTGTCCATCCCATACATGCAAGGGCAGGGGCCTGGGGCAGGGGCTCCATTCACCAAAGCTGATGTGGTTTTTCACTGACCCTTCAGGCCCCTGAGGGAATAGGCCTCAATGAATGTGTGTCAGGGGAGTCTTGGCAGTGGATTAGTGGTTGTAAGGATGTGATAGAAACATCCAGTGTGTAGAGAAAGAAGTGGGGACGGGAGCTGGTGGGCAGTGGGCAGTGGCTGAGCATGGTGGAAGGACTGGAGCACGGGAGGTAGGAAGAGGCCTGGGCCATCTGGCTGCACTAACTTTCGTAGCTGTCATTGTGCATCTAGGGTGGGAAAAGGGAGGGAGCCAAGCTTGGCCCAGGCTGCTTGGGGCTTGGCAGTAGGGTGGGAAGGACTACCCTGGGTCTCTGACCACACTGTCACGTGTGGCAGGTGGCTTCCTGTCTCCCACGACTTCTGCTGTGAGAATAAACTGTAGATGAGTCTGCGCACCGTTATTCGTGGGCCAAGTGTACCTGCATTGTGCTCTTCTCCTACTGTCTCCTTGCCTGACTCTGACATTTTCCTCTCAAAATGACATGAACCATAGCTGAGGCTTATGTGGCCTTCACAGAATGTGCCCACGATGAATCTGGCTCCTGTTCAGAGTGGTAGTTCTCCTTGGTAGTACTTATGGGGTTGGAGGAGAGGAGCAGCTTATACTGTAGAGGACTTCCTTAACAGTTCACAATCATTGAGAAGGGATACAGAATTTCAGAGATACAACCAATGTTATGATCTTTGAGAAAAAAGCTGACTAAAATGTTCAAGGACATCCTGCACTCCACTGTCTTGCAAGGTGCTACTAGGGGCTACCCGGACTCCTGTTTTCATGATTCAGCACAATCAATGAAGCAAGACTCATTATTACAGGGCTTGGGCTGCTTGTAGTTTATCCCATTCTGAAGGCTTCCTCGGGGGTGGTAGCAGAGAGAGAGAGTTGGGGAGGTGCTTCACCGTGGAATCCTTGTGATGTGGGAGCTAGTTAGACTATTTGCGGTTCTCTAAGGCCCCCTCCCCCCCCCGGGTTGGGACAAGGGATTGAACTCAGGCTCTTCCATTGAGCTGTCTCCCCAGCCCCTCTTTTAAGCTTTTTGGCAAATGTCAATCACCAAGGTAAAGGGGAATTGAGATATCTAATGGCTGGAGGTTAATTCTTGGGACTCTTGAGACATGGAATAAAGATGGGAAGGCACTTGGTAGCATTGTTGGCAGGAGTGCTGTGCATGGAGTACTACAAATCATTACAAATTTGCTCTCCACGGGCAATTAGATACCATCTTAGTGAAAACTAGGCTGAGGGCTAATGCAGCTTGGTGTCTAATGTTAGCCAAACACTATTTTGGATTTTTAATTTTTTTTTTTCAGTACTTGGCGATTAAACTCGTTTTGCACAAGTTAGGCAAGTATTCTGCCAGTGAGCTACTTTGAGATACAATCTCACTAATTTGACCAGCTTGCTTGGATTTATCATCCACCTAGGTGGGCTGATAGGTGTGTACTACCATGTCCTGCTTGTTCTGGAGTCTTCCCCTTGCACACTCCCACCCCTAGTGCATCAAACCCAGGACCTTTGACATAGTAGGGAAGAATTCTACCTATGTACTACTTCCTTCACGCTGAGTCTACTTAAATGTAGTAGGGTGAGCCAGGGATGTGGCTTAGCAGCATAAGCATCTGCCTGGCAAGCACAAGGTTCCCATTTTGATCCCCTGTACGCAAAAACAAAAGAATATT